ATATATGTTCATCCTATTACCTTTTGAAACGGACAGTACTATCTCTGGAAATGGATCACAAATGGCGACTTCCAGCAGGTTCGCTGTTTATGCAACCTTCTTCTCAGCGCCGGCCAGGAGGAATCTTCCACAACGTAAGGTATTCCATGCAGTGCTGCTTTCAGGCTTGTCTAACGATTTCTGGTCATAATGTCGAACACTTGCTGTACAAACCTTTAGTAAAATATTTTCTGTCCCATTAATGTGGGGCTATTTTTGTTCTCTGCCTCTTTGCACCATAGCTCGCAACTACGGTATTTGCGACCCTGCATTCGTATGTGATTCCGAGTTGTCTCTATACTCTCTACACACTCGGTAAGTTTGTCAGTCTGGTAGCGAATCACCCTGTATATATAAGCTGAAAACTAAAAATAATTAGATTTTTAAACAAATTTTAACTAACTACTTTAAAACCATTTTTTTTATTATAACGTTCATGACTTCTTATAACATGTCTGCTTTGATTATGTTGCAAACCTTTATTTTGTCAATATACTTAATTATAAAAGGTTTTGAAAGAGTTTGATATTTGAAAACCTCATTCTAATCTATAGCATCTTTCAAGCATTCTATAGTACTTTAAAAAAAATTTTATATCTAAGAGCTAATGTCATCCGAGTTCTGTATAACAAAGCTATTACTTAAAGTTTAAAATTCTGAAGTTTTTTCAAATCCACTTTAGAAACATTTTCAATAATAAACTTTTTAGATAACATCTCATATCTAGAAATGATATCCCAATAAGTTATGTTCATTCTCGATGATAAACCTTTCTGATAGTCTTTGATATGTACAAATATTATGCCAAAAAGCTTTATGTTTTTTTTTTCTGATATAAAAGGATCTGTTAATTTCTGATATTTTGAAATAATTGTCTAATTCACAGTATTTTCAAAATATCTAATCAAAATTTCGGATAATTTACCTGGTCTCAGAACTTCTGGCCAATTGATATCCATTTACATAACAATTTTTTTCTAATCATAGATACTGTTTTTGTAATAGCAGCCCAATGTACCACGTATAACTGCTTTTACATTAGTGTTTATACGTTACATTTTCGCAGAACATTGTAAGCCGATCCACATTTCATATACATTCATCTAAATAAGGACTTCTTTGAACTCCTTGAACTCTCAGACCCATTTGAGGCTTTTACCTGGCTAGCTACCCTTCTTATTGTTGCTGAAAAGTAAACCTCCAATTGCAGTTTAACAATCATATTTCCTTCCAACTTTGCTATTTTTACTTTTTTCATGCATTTAAGTTTTTATCTATTTTATATCAGTATGCAAAAATTAAGGATAAGTTATAGTTTGAAAGGTTACATCATGCAGTAATGTTTCAAACCAGTACAAAGCGTACAATAATTTCATCAAGTTATGCAAAACATAAATAATGCTATCTAAGAAAGAAATCCAAATGAAGCAAAGGAACTGCATTCAAAAGTAGGTTTCAAGCATAGCAGGACTAAAAGAAATGTCTTTGGGACAAGTGGTAGGCAAGGAAAATCAATCAATCTCAGTTGGAGATATGATCTGCCCTTACTATAATGCAAGTTCACATTTTTTCATACTTAATAGGAAGTTGTTGATGAGCTCTTCATGCATCATGGTCCATTTCTTTTGGTGAGGTAACTGAAGCTACTACATTGTTGCTGGCGGCTGACTATATGCTGCCAGACATCTCTTAAAAACGCCTACTCATGTTCAATTGGATTTAAATCCAGAAAGCATATGACATAGTCCATACGACAAATGTCTTCACTCTCCAGTAGCTCAGGGCTATAGCCACTATATGGTGATTTGTAGCTTTGTCATCCATGCAGAATAATCACAGCATCGGGGGAAAACGCATGCAGGGAAGGAAAATCTCGCTAGCGGTCACGAGCAATTGAACCTTCTTAGAAGATTCAGAACTCCTTACAGCCACGAAGCATATTGCTTCCCCAAACAAGAACTTCGCTACCTTCAAATCGATGTCTCTCGATGATGCTGGAAGAGTTGTGTGTTCCACGCTTTCAGCGTATATTTAGACATCCAGAATGTCTAGTGAGACTTAATCGGCTTTCGTCAATAAACAACTCTCGAGCTCATTGCACAACTTCCCATAACCTAGTGTTCCTAGCTCCACAAGAAGTGATGTCTTCTGTGAGTTGGCATCAATAGTACACACCAAACTGGCAGCCACCGAGCAAACAAACCACCTACGGATAATTTCTTGGCCACAGTAAAGAACGATATCAGGCTTCGAGTATGCATCTTGCAATTTACCTCAGAATGATCTAATATCCGGGCATCTAGTCTATCAGTAATAATTTTTTGAGAACTTTTTCCCCTTACAAAATCTAGGAATGGAGTTAATAGTGTTCAAGAAAAAGAAGGTGCATCTTGAAAGCGATTTTTCCCAAACTAACAGGAATTCCTGACTGTCACTGTCAAACACCTGTTGGCTAGGGAATACATGACCAGTGACAATGCATTGATAAATGCTGGCCGCAAATATACCTTTCGACTTTTGAGTGGTTGTGGGAAGTCAGCATTTTTCTATCTGGCCAAAACAATAAGCAAAGCTCCAAGATAATGTTGGTTTGGAGTAGGAATGTTGCTGATACCGATTTTCTTTTGTTGGTAAAGCAGCGAGGAAAGAATTAGATTCCGAGGAATTAAGCTCAATTTTAACATAGCAATATGTGCTCTTCCTGAACTTTATAATGTGATCTACCTTGCTACTTTTTTTCGCAGGCTATTATTATTCCAATTATCTCATCAAAATCAAAGTTTGAATTTTCGATTATGTTGAGCAAAGTTTCTAATTCTGGAGCTCCAGCAAGATCTGCTGATCAAAAGAAAGTTTCAATGTCAGTCAAGTAAAAAGTAGCATTACTGCAAAAAATGGATACGAATTCCGCAGTCTGTTATTATTTTGAGTATGTGCATAGGTATAACCAGTTCTTCAACTTTGGAAGTTCTCGTTCTGTAAAAGGCAGATGTGGAAGTTTTATTCTCTTTTCAAAATGCGAGACAGAACTTGAGGAGTTAAATGTATAATTCTTTAAAAAACATAGTGTGGCTTACTGAAAATCAGGGTTGCATAAAACGAAAGCAAAGTTCTTATTAGGGCCTTATTCGAAAGTCATTTGCCATTCTGCCATTTTTAAGCTTAACAATTTCTCCTTACTTCATGGCTCAGGGTTTCAGACACCCTTGGCTGTGACTTTCCTTATTGACCACCATTTTTGCTTACGTTAATATCACTTAGATGAACTGTTATATAATATTAATTTAGAATTAATTTTTAAGAACGTAGCTAAGTTTTTATAAAAACTGAACATGTATTCTTTGTATTTTGAAAAGAGGTTAAGATATCAAACTTTTACTGCACCTACTTTTATATCTAAATCTTGCCTACCAGTTAACTAATACTGCATTCTGCGCACCATTTTTGAATATTTAGAGAAGTTTAGTTATGTATATTACGTAACATGTAAAAGATGTAAAATTAGCTGTTATAAAAATGGCGGTAAGTGCTGGTCGTTCTCTTATAGACAGCCCAGATTTTATTAATGTCTTATGACGTTACGCTTATCCATTATTAGCAATAAACTGTACTGTTTAGCGGTATTGTCAGAAACGGTCAACGGCAAAATAATGGAATTACCTTTTCTAATTAATGGGAATAGGGAGGAAATGAAAATGATATAACAGTTCTCCATTTCGACATTGCTGTCTCAATCATCAACCCACAAATGAGCGTTGAAATCTGCGATATGGTTTTAAACCCAGAAAATATCACTATCGATAGTGAAAGAAAGTGACATTGCTGAGAATGAATAGATTTTAACAGATAGTATAGTGTGAATTCTCGATATAGCAGTTTCAGGACCTTAGCGATGGAACTTTGTAGTTGAGCAAAAATTTTGTTGACTGAAAGTAAAGTATTAGCGCAAAAAGGAACCATCTTAAACAACTTGTATTTAATGCAATATTTCATAAAACAAACACATAGTGAGCTTCTTTTGTAAATTTTGATTTTCATGGTCATAAATCTTTTGTTACACTATACACAACTATTTAACATTTTTAATTTTATAATTTCTATGTGTTATCTTAGTAGATTTAAATTGATGATCTAAAATATGGAAATTTCGGAAATCCAAATTTCCAAAATCACAACGCTTCCGAATCTCGGACTGTGCGTTGCATTCTCCTTTTAGAGGAAATCCTTTGCTGAATCTGTTGTGTGATGAAGTGTTACGCTTGAAATTAAATGAGTTCTGATGGTAGCCATAGGAATAGCAGCCTTGCATAGAGTGCAAGGATCTCATCATATAGTGCTGCAAATTTACACTTTCCCCATTCAAGATGTGCAATGTGGAATTACTCCAACACCACCATACAAGCTTTCATTAAAACATTTGAATTGATGATCTAAAATACGAAAATTTCGGAAATCCAAATTTCCGAAATCACAACGTTTCTGAAACTCAGACTTTGCGTTGCATTCTCCTTTTAGAGGAAATCCTTTGCTGAATCAGTTGTATGATGTAGTGTTACTATGCTTGAGATTAAATGAGTTCTGATGGTAGCCATAAGAATAGCAGCCTTACAGTGCAAGGATCTCATCATGTAGTGCTGCATATTTACACCTTCCCCATTCAAGATGTGCAATGTGGAATTACTCCACCACCATACAAGCTTTCATTAAAACGTCTGTAACAGCCATCGCTTACGCTTACTTTACTTGCTTACTTTAGGCTTGCCCACAGTATCTCTAAATAACATATCTAGTGTAAATTTGTAAACCATATCTGATCTTATCTGGAAGCAGAGTAGGTACTCACTGCTCTATATTCGATGAGGTAAAATATGGATGTTATTGTGTTATTCCCGATGTCGACAAAAAATCTTTTTGACCAGGAGTGATCAGTCGACATTACGAAAGATGGGTTTCATCTGAGAATGTCTGAAGGAACAGATACTATATGTATTGCTAATTGTCTGTACTTAGTTTGTCTTCTCACCATTGTTCCAGAGGTAGAAGTAAGCTGCTATCTGGTTTTCATCTTTCTGTAGCTTAGTGCATTTAATTACAAAGCATCATTATCCTTGCACAGCAACTGGCTGTTCTTCTGGCGGCGTTGCCAATTTCCTGGAATTGTTTCCAGAACGTGCATACTTGTTTTCCGGAGTCCTGCTAGCATAGGGCAATTTCCGCTTAGGACTGGACAATACAGTCAAAAGTCGTTAATCCGGACTCGTCGGGACTTCGGCGATTCTGGATTATCGATTTTTCCGGATTATAGATAATCAGTTTAAATCTTGTAAGATGGCATGCAGAAATTCTAAAATTAAAAATATGAAACCGTAATTTATGAAATAAAGAACAATTATGATCTAAAGGGTATCAAAATTTACAAAAAAAAAAAGCTTAATATTTATTTGTTTACTTTATTAAACATTTCTTTCAATGTAAGTTGCTTCATTTTATGTGATAATACTTTCTCTTTAATTCTATAAACAGGCATAATTTCTTGTTCAGTTACAAAGTTCCGCTGTTCAAGTCCTGTTAATTGCTGTGCCGAGAATACCGACTAACTTGTCAATCGAAATTTTTTCGTTTTTCACTAACCTCTCTGTCACACATTCTTCATGTCTTTATCCATTTTTTGCAGCAATTCCACTTTTTGTTTGATTAACATCGAAACATACTTTCGTTTTGTACGATCCTTTGGGAGCTCCAGAATCGAAAATTCAATTTGACATAATCGAAAGTTCAAGTTTACTTTTATAGTATTGCTCTTAAAGTCTGCAAAAAATAATAAGCCGGATCCAATTCGAAAATTAAGGAACAACGCAATCATCAACATTAACTGAAATCGATAATTAGATAATTTTAGCTTATACCGTCCGTTGCATAAAACGCGCACGCGAAAACGTATTCTGCGCTTGCACACACTCATATGCGCAGTCGTAAAAGGTCTTACGCACACGCGTAAACGCCTGTGCACATGTGTCAACGAGGCGCATGCGCAGAAAGTTTTTAGCTTTGAGGTCCGGATTATAGATCATTCCGAATTATGGGTGTCCGAATTAATGACTTTTGACTGTACTAAGTTTGCTGATGGCTTCCCATTTGAATCATTATCTAGACAATTGCAAAAACTCATGATATTGAACTGTAACATATCTGTTTATAGTCTGTTCTATGCACTTAAACCACAAACTTGTAAAGTAAAAGTTTTACATTTCATAAACTGCCTGATTCTACTGTTTTCATTTCAACTGAATACACGCATTACGTTTATCGTTCAAAATAGTGTGTATCTTTCATTTTTCAGAAATTCTACTAGTATTTATTTAAGTTATTTTGAAAAATGTATTTGTTAGTATAATTTCATACAGTTCTTCCTCATTACATTTTTGTTCTTATTTTGTCATTTTCCCTTTTCACATATGAAAATTCTCTTTTAGTTTTAAAATAATTTTGTAGTTTTATTGAAAACTTATTTGCAGCAATAATATCTGCATTTTGTAATTTCTGGAAAGCTAATTCTTAATATAATGATTTATAGTTCTCAAATAAGTTGCTGATTGACCAAGATACAATCCCTGTTGGAAGCTCTAAAAATGTGTCTGGTATGATGTTAATTTTACTAATGTGTTATTCAAACAGTTGTTGACTGTGACCTAGATTGTCTTAGGACATGACAAGGTCATGAAGTTGTGTACAGTACCTATTATACACGCCTGCTGTTCTTTCTCAGTTGACTTAAATTACCTCTAGGTTTGTAATACCTAAGCATCTCTGTGGTTTTCCGGGCTTTACCTCACTGATCCGTCTCAATCAGACTCAATAAATGTTCGAACACAGATTATAACCCATAATTTATCGTTCCATATCCATTCTCTCCTGGACTTAATACTGAATGGTTAAGGAAAAGGAACAAATTTTAAGACATCCGATAACTCCTTATAAGAACATAAAAATTAATATGTAACTTTTGTAATTCCCATTATGCCTCTGTTTGCAACATTGAAGGTCAAATTAGTAGTTTTCCAATCAACTTAAGATAGTACCAATGAACTGTAACTTCATTTTACTGAATATGGTGATATCACTTTTAAGCTTAATAAAGTGTATAAGGTACTTTTCCCCGCTTTCACTTTCTTAGCATGCCTTCATGGTGTAATGGTCAGCACTCTCGGCGCGTATTCGAGAGGTCCGATGTTCGTCATCTGGCGAGGGCATTGTGCATTTTTCGTCTCCTGCATCAAAAATAACCGAATGTCTTTATAGTGCCGCCCGAACTAAAAAACGTGATGAATGATGATTCTTCACCACCAGGATTTGGTCCCCTAATCCCCAGTCATCCTTTAAAAGGGGAAGTATATAAGATAGTTCTCCCTTCTTAGTATGCCTTCATCGTGTAATGGTGAGCATGCTTGGCGCGTATTTGAGAAGTCCGAGGTTCGAGTCCTGGAGAGGGCATTGCTCATTTATCTCCTTTCCTGCTTTTTAAAAATCCTAAATGTATCTACAAGTGAAATAATAAAAGGGGTGAGTAAGTAGTATTAATTGAAATGCAATAAAGCAAATCTGATGCTCAACACTTATGAAAAATCTTATAATAATTTTTTACTGTGTAGATAATTATGTTAATGCTTTCCTCATCTTATCTGATTCAGTTACTATTGTCGTATTCTGCATCAACTGTTAAACGAGTTTCTTTGGAGTTGGGAGGAAATGCTCCATTCATTGTGTTCAATTCTGCCAAACTTCAGCTTGCTGTTTCTGGTGTCATGGCATCAAAGTTTCGAAATTCTGGGCAGGTATGTACAGTAAATTAAGCCAACATGAGGTACTTCTAAATGTATTTTTAATACTATATACTGCATTATTTTCATAAAAGAAAAAAAAATGTCATTTATTAAGTTTTAACTGTTTTTGCGGGTAGAGTAAAAGACAATGCACTTTTTTTACAGACTTGCGTATGCACAAATAGAATTTTAGTGCAAGATGGAATTCATGATGAATTTGTTTTTGAGTTATCTAAAGCTATGAAACAACTGACTGTAGGAAATGGAATGCTTCCGGATGTAAATATTGGGCCACTAATTAATGAACAAGCTGTAGAAAAGGTATTTTATACAATCATTAATACTGGTGACCTAAACTATTGAAATGTTGCCTTTTTTGAGCTTTCTCGTTTAAAATTTTGTAAAATAGTATTTTATCATAACGAATTGAAAAATCATTATACCCTATTTACTTGCATATTCCTATTAATTTCACCACTTGAAACAAAGCGAGAAAATATGCAGCATATACTATTTCTAAAGAACGGTCATGTGATAAACGTAGCACATTAAAAAGCACACATAAAAACAAACTACTCTCACTGTATTATGTATTTCAAAGAATTTATCAATTTTAATAATATACTTTTTACTTACACTAAATACTTTACTATTTGTGCGAATATTTTACATTGTTATGTATCATCAATCAGAAGTTTCTAAATCATATGCTGGAAAAAACTATAGAAGGGATATGCAAGGGGGATAATTATGTGAGTAAATATGGTGCTATGTTTTGAAAAACAAGCAAAAAAATTTTTTTGTAGTTATTCGGTTATTAATTTCGAAGGCTTTGTTTTATCATGATATATTGTAGAGTTTCTCACTTTTATTGTATTAAACTAAATGTTGAGGAACTTAGTGAAACAGCTAAGCGAATACTTTCTTAAATCGTTAACAGAAATGTTAACTCAAGAAGTGTTAACTACCCTTTATTTGCTCCAAATAAAGATATAATGTCGGCCCCTTTCTCAAAGCATACAGCAAAGCCTCCATTTCGGCTTAAAATGTAAGAAGTAAGTACTAAAGATTAACTAAAAGATTTAGCTGAAGTTAACACAGTTCTAAACTATTTGGCCCATAATATTAAATTAGCCAGTGAAACTATCAAAGGGCACGTAATACGGCCGACCATAGTAATAGTTTAGAAAGATGTAGTCAAAAGGCAAATGCGTGCTGAGTGGCGGACTAAGGCTAAATCGGGCCCTAGGCAACATTGTAATTCAGGGCCTATTTTTCAGTCATGACTCATACTTAGCATTTGGTAGTTTGGTTTTAAAGCATATAGTATGTAGTTCTATTTAATTATTGGATTCCAATAAAAAAAAGGAAAAATAATATACATGTACAAAAATTAAATAAACATAATTTATTAAAACAAACATAAACATAATTTATTAAAACAAACAATAATATTTTAATATACTCAGATTGATTAGTTATATTGCCTTTTTTCTCACTTTTAATTCTGCAAACTCGTCAATTAGTTTGTCATAATTAATAGAGTTATTTAACAACTCTTTTTCTATATGAAGTAATGATAAACTATTTAATTTTTGTTGGCCTAATGTGGATCTTAAAAACTTTTTTTATTCTGGCCATTACTGAGAATGATCTTTCACTGCTTGCATTGCTTATTGGAAGTGTTAAATAAATTCTCAGAATTATGCTTAAATTAGGGAATGTTGCAAATATATTATTTTCCTGAATAAATGACCACATGGATACAGGCGAAATACTATTTTCTTTACTTATAAAAGTCTTAAATTGTAATACTTCATTTTTCAGTTCTGCTACGTTTAAATCTTGTTCATAACATTTTAATTCCTCTATTGAAGAGTCACTAACATCACTATCATGAAAAATTGTTTTGAATTTATTGTTAATAGTTTTATATTCCTCAGATCTTTTTTTAATGTTGCTAATTAAAGAATCGCATACAACAAAAAAATATTAACTTTAGGATGTTCTTTGCCACTGAATCGTATTTCATATTCTGGAATTTCACCATGAAATAGTTTTTGTATTTTCTGCCTTTTTTTATCATTAGTATATGCAATATCTTTAACTTTTTTTGCTTCTTTTTCTAAATTGTCAAAATCATCTCTAACAGTTTGTATGAAATCTATCAATGCACCATATATTAAAACTGCTGCATTTAGGGATTCGTGTTTTTGTTGAAGAGTCTTGTTTGAAGCATCTATTTTCTCTAAAATCTTTTCCCATATAGTAAGTAACAGTTCATACTCAAATGTATCAAGTTTTTTATGTAAATCGGCAGCTTCGGACCTTGGTAATGGTTTTACATCTTTGTTTGAGGAAAAATGAAGTAAACAATGTTTAATTTCTTCATAAGTTTCCTTTAAGGATTTCACAGCATCGGAACGAGCAGACCATTTGGTGTCACAAATAGGTTTAATACTCAAGTGTTTTCTCTTACAAAATTTTTGTAATGCATTCCATCTATGTGTAGAACTTGAAAAAATACGTAAAATTCTTGAACGATATTGAAAAAAGTGGTCATTTCCATGCAACTTTTGGCAGCAGCGTTTCCAATTAAATTTAGTAATAATTGATTTGAGCATGGTGTAAAATGGTCAGAAAAAATATTTTGTTTTATTCTGGATTGGAGTCCCGTATATTTACATGACATATTAAACACATTATCATAACTCTGTCCCCGGCAATTAGTAATGTCTAAATCTATAGTTTTTAAAAATTCTAAAATAACTTTCTCCAGTTTTCACCAGTATGAGAAAATATAGGTAGAAATAAGTTGTTGGTTTCAGTACAAACCAACCAAACTCTTTTAACTTTTTCCCCACTATTAATTGTTTTGAAGAAGGAGACAATAGTTGATTTTCTTGTAATTTGTTTTGACGCTTTGTTGTATCGAACAGAAGATGATTCCAAAGATCCATTTATTGATTTTGGTGAATTTTTTATATAATACTGTCGCATGGCATCTATTCAGTATTCTGGCCATAATGCAATATCGTTTACAAAACGTTTAGTTTCATCATTACTTTGAGGTGATTTTAAATTTATATTTTCTCGTTTTGTTTCATCTTCAGAAACAGAATTGCTTGGTTTTTCCTGCTGGTCTTTTTGCAGAATAGTTTCGGATACAAATGATGTTTCTGGAGTTTGAGCAGGTGAAATTTGTGAAAATGATGATGATTGTTGTAATTGTTCTCCATCTACAGTTAAAAATTTGTCCAACTATCTTTTCATTTGTTTTGCCACTTTATCTCGATCTGCTTTTTTTTTTTTTTTTTTTTTTTTACTTAAATGTTAATAGGAATTCATTTTAAAGACCATGTACTAAAAAGAAAGAAGAAAATGATCTTCAATTAAATTTATTTTTACTCAATATCACATTCACAAACAAAATCACAATTTGTGGTATTTTATATTATATACTATTTTAATTAAATAATGTAATACTTTTATAAAAACTTACATTTTTATTTTAGGTATTCCAGAAAGTATGAACTATGAATCCAAAACCATCTATTTGCAATCAAGTCTAGGTAATTAAGTCTTAATGGCACAATTTTCAATCACAACTCACATAAAATGCAATGTGTTCAGGAGACACTGATTTTAAATAGCTACGTTTGACTTTTTAAACATGTGCATAGTAAAGGTTGGATAGGCACGAGGCTCAATCATATTTACACACATCGACACTCGCGGGCGTGGATGCATAAGCACGGAAACGCTCGTTCATACTTGTTGATTTTATCAATCATCAATTCGGCATAATTTGGATACGTTTCAGCAATAATTATGAATATCACGTTTTTCTGTTGAATAAAAATAAAAATTAAAAACCTAATTTTTGGGCCTAAAAAATTACGGGCCCTAGGCACATGCCTAGGTTGCCTAGGCCTTAGTCCACCCTTGCGCACGCTATTCAGGAATCCTAACTCTCTCTTTCAAAGTCAGTGGAACTTGACTTAAATACTATTCTACTTCTCATTTGCATTTGATGTGATTCCCAAAACTCATTCTGGTAAGGAATAGTAAGCTGAAGCTTGAAGAGATAGGAAAGTGGTATAAACTTAAAATGACTATTATAAAAATAAAATATACCTTACAGTATTATCATTAAGCATACTTTATTTTTATTAAATAACAGTAAAAGAGTTTTGTAATTTTATGAGATGCTTAAGTACATTTCGTATGTATTATTTGTTTCATTCTTAGTTTTTCTCTTGTGTATTTGCTAGGTAAATATGCATGTACAGGATGCACTAGGAAAGGGAGCAAAATTAGTTTTAGGAGGAAAGATTCATTCATGTGGTAAAACATTCTATGAACCAACACTGCTTACCAATATTAGCCGAGATATGCTTATGTGTAAAGAGGAAACATTCGGGCCTGTTGCAGCTGTTATGAAGTAAATGTTAAAGTGCTAATTGTAAGAATTTATTTACGGAGTGTTTCAAACATCCTTGTGCCAAGTAGTGACAGGTAGCCAACCCACATATTAAACTCTCATAAACTTTGATTAATGAAATCATGCATGCACGTCATTTTATTTAGTTCTATGATGTAATGAGTACTCATCTGTATAATAGGAGCTGCTCAAAATGGTGTCCATTTGATTGGAAACATTTCTGCCATCTTTTCATGTTTCAATTTAATACTATAGTAGCCACATAGGCCAAGGCTTTTGAAATGCCTGTTTCCTGTGAGACACGGCGTAGAGATTTCGTTGGGGTACACTGTAATGATTTTCCAATTTCAACAATTTTCTCTTCCATTAAAACTTTTTTCTCCCCTTTATAAGTTCTGTTGTTGAATGACCCATTTCCCCGTAATAACAAGATTTCTGACAGTATTCTTATGAGGAAATGGAATGCCAGGAAATTTTTAAATGAATTGTCTACTCATTTCTCTACAAGACTCTGTTTTTACGTGTCATATGCAAAAATGTTTTACTTAGTTTTTCACATTTGGTGTTACATTTCAGACACAACAATTAGCGGCTTACGACCCACATTGGAACTCACTTCAATCTAAAGCCAAACTAATCCTCATGCAACTTGAGGGTGAGTTGGAGACAATAACAGCCTCGACTGACACTGCCCTCCTACTGCCAGTGCGTTGGCTGGTGCAAAGATGTTTACACTCTAACTTCCTATGCATTGGCTGGCACAAAGATGTTTGAGGACATGCTGTGTAGTATGGTTTTATTCATACTTTTGCTGAGATATTTTATATATTGAATCAGTTATGCTATTTAGATTTCTTTATTAGTTACAAACATCATGACAGTGTATGTGTTATTTATCCATAATTTAGGTATGGATTATACTCATGTTCTCTCTGTTTTACTGTACTCAAAATCTAAGTACATTTTTATTCCAGCTTTTTCTGTTAATTTTGTAATATATTTATTCGCCTTTTCGTAAGCTGCTATTAAGTCTCCCTCACCAGACTTTGATTAATTAAAAAACAAAAGTCTTAGTTATAAAATTTAACAAAAGCCTTAGTAGAGGAACTTTTAATTCTAAAACTCAGATGAAGCAAAAAAATTTTGTAGTGTTTATAAGCTTTTAGACTTGTGCTTGATGATTATTTTGTAACATATATCTACAGTGAAACTTGCAGTTACAGTATAAATGTCCAGCTCTCTTTCTTCATAGTTTAGCACAAAATTAAATTTCTTTTATTACATAGACGTATAGCACTTGACCCTGGAGAACAATTTACCGTAATCACTTACTGTCATAAACCTTAAATCATTTTGATCTCCAAGTCTGCTCCTCAGGTGCTCACTTTTTGTGAGTACGGGTGTGGCAATTCCGAGGTACCCTAGCCTTTCAAAGGTTCACAATCTTGGGGTCTAGTAATCTTTTTTCCTTTCAATCTCTCCTAATCTATGCTATTTATATTTACTCCACCATTGTGGTTTTCCTTTTTGGAAGTTGGGGCTAAAAGTGAAATTCTGTTACTTCCCTTAGTTTCTAGTTTCTCATGGAGAGGAAACCACCCATGCATTTGCCATGTATTGTTACCCGTAAGGCTGGGAAGGAGGGTCCTGATAATTGAGGGGTGAGATACTGTCCCTAGCACACTGCTTTGGCCTCTGCTTCAGACTGAAACAGAATGCACTTAGCTATCACTGCTGGTAACATTCAGCTGATCACCTGCTCTTAGGGTCAGTAGCTTGAGGATAAGCTTTTGGGAAAGCTGATTTGGGCTTCAGATTGCATATAAACCCAGTTAACCCTGGTGCAGATTCAGACTTTCCTTGTTGGCCCGATGGTGGGTGGGGCTGTCGGGTCCGAATTTCTTTCAGATATGGCCTCAAACACTCAAACAAATGTTGAAAATGTTTTGTCCTCAAAAAAATTGAAAACAAATGTAAATGCTAATGCCAAAATTCATCCATCCCATTTTCTTGTAATAAACAATTCTACTGGTAACATGAAAAAACTTTCTCCTTTTCTAATACAAAAATATTTTGTCCTTTGTTAGAGAACCAAAGAGCGATCTGCAGACCTACTTGTTGAAACTGCTTCTGAAATACAATCTGTTACCCTCCCAGAACTAAAAAAGCTTGACATATAATCCTGACCTTCAGTTTACCTGATCTGCCAAAGACTTATTAAGGCCAGGTACTTACAGTGCCCTGTAAGACCTTACATACCAAACCCTTTGCAAGGCTTTCAGTGCCAATTCTTTTATCATTCAAAATTACCCTATGGTGGGAAACTCGCATGGCACGTTGCTCTGTGGGGAACTCGCACGTGCACGTTGCTCTGTGGAAGGCCACGACAGCAATAATTGCAATGCTGATCCACTGTGTGCAAACTGCAGAGAGGAGCACACAGCTTTCACAATAGAAATAAGAAGAGGAGGTACAGACCACAAAAATAACTAAGAATTTTTCATATGTTGAAGCTAGAAAATTAATGATGGCTATGCAGCCACAGAAAAATATATCTTATGCCAGTGCTTTGAAATCAATTGGCATTATAAGTAGCTAAAAAAATGCAACAAAACAAAACACAGAAGACAGATTATGGTATTTCCATAATATTATACTACAAAGATACAAATGAAACGAAACTGAGAATAATAAAGAAAAAGAAATTTCAATGTGTCCCAGGAATTCAAGTGTGAGCTGCTTTGGGATGCATCAATTCTGAATAGTTAAACTCTGATACCGATGTGGAAGAGGGTTTGGGCATACTGAGGCACCTTCTTTCCATGTAAAACAAAAACAGAGCACTGGAAAAGTGAACATTATCCATAATGGCCACTTTCGCTCCATGGAATTGTCGCGTCTTCCACCAAAATCTTGTTTACATGAAAGATTTGATTGATAAATATCATCCTGTATGTTTGGCTGTGCAGAAAACTCTCCTGAAGCCAGAGAAAAAATTAAGCTTCAGAGGTTTACATTTGTCATGAAAGACAGTCTTGTAGTTGAGCATGCGAATGGAGATATGGTTACCTGACTATCCCTCGATTCATTTCATTTAACAAAAAGCCTTCAAGCTATTACCATTCAGGTAAATATAAGGAGTTTGATTTCAGTTTCTGTGTCAGTTTGCCTCCAAAGTAATGTGTCGATTAATGAGATTTGGATAATTTAATAGAATAGCTGCCATCATAATGGGAAGACAGACTTTAACGCTCACAGTACGCTCTGGGGAAGTAAGGACACAAATACTTGAGGAATACCGGACACTTGAGGAAGACGAATACTAATTCAAATACTTGACACTGGAGGAAAACAAACTGAGCAAATGATCGAGGATCATGGCCTTCTTCTCCTCAGTAATAGACAGGATACCTATTTCCACAAGCCCACTTCACGCCCTCAATCTTGCCATCTATTCTCCATCACTTTTACATTAAGTGTAGTAGTTTTTCCCTTTCCACATTTAGTGTAGGGAATGATCTTTATAATAGTGATCATTTCCCCATTTTTATATCTCTTGCTAGAGAAGGGGTAAATGACATGTCAAGATCCCCTTGATTTATACCTGATAGAGTAGACTGGGAGCTCTTCTCTTGCCTGGCAAAGATCAGTGAAGAAGCAGTAAAAAATGAGCCGATCGATGATGCAGTGAGAGCCATTATGAAATTATTATTCTGGCAGCTATTATCTCTACACCTATGATCTCAACAAGGTTACCAAAATTTCCCAAACCATGGTGGAACTGTGATCACCAAGAAACTCTTTGAGCACAAAGAAAAGTTTGGTGTGTGTATTGCAGGTACCCCACTTCTGGAATTTCATTCTGTACACCCAGTAAACAGGTTTGGAAGAAAGTTAGAAAAGTGTGTGATTTGTATAAAAACCACTTATTTTCTTTTCCTCAAAAAGATGGTCAAGTGAACAGTGCAGCAGAAGAAATAGCGAATACCACAAGCGATACCTTTGCTGCCGTTTCAAATGGCAGCAATTACCCACCTGTGTTTCTTTCTGCAAAGCGTCACTTGTTGAAAATTCCCATTGTATTCAGCTCTGCCAACTCAGATAGCAATTTTACTATACTATTATAATAGCAATTTTACTATATTTGAACTGAAGAGAGCTATGTTGAAAACACATAGGTCTAGTCTGGGTCCAGATTGTTCTGTACAAACTATTTTATTCTAACCAATTATTTTTTAGTTTTACTTTCCTTTCTCTTCTGATTTCAGTTTTCTGACGGAATGTAAATTTTTAATGGCGTAGTATGCTAATCTAAATGTGTTTCAGAAACAGTATTTAAGCTGCATTTCAAGAGTTTGAGAAGAGTAGTAGCAGAGTTAGTTCCGAGTTTATGCTGTGTGTTTGAAATTAGCTCTCTAGTCGGTGTTAGATACCCTCCAGATTTGTACTGATATTCCTTGACTTGGCTTTGTTGCAGGTGATTTAGCGTTAGTTAAGCTAAGGACCTCAGTCGTTAGTCATTCACATTTATTAGCGATTTGTTACATTTTTATTTTCTGTTAAATTTAGTTATCCACAAGTGTTGTTAAATTGTGAGCACCAAGTGTGTGACTCTGTTTATTTTGGCTCAAATAAAATGGTTATTTAAACCTTCTTCTGCAGTATTTATTCTTCAAAGACATAGTATTTGCTACTTAATCTTCTACATAGAGTCAACATTGTATGCTACCAAAAAGAACACGCCAACTCTACATTGTCAGTTATGAAATTCTGAAACATCTTTCCTGTAGGTCCTTGGCTGGTGTTCTCACTCTTTACAATTGAGTGTGGAAGGAGTATACCTTTTCCAGCGCATGAAGAAAAACTGTAGTGGTTTTCTTCCATATCTAAGCCAGGCAAAGACCCAAAGAATATTTATAATTATTGGCCCATCACACGAGTTGCATGTGCAGGTTACTGGAAAAGATGGTAAACCATCGTTTAGTCCCTTCCACTCTAAGGATGATGGACTTCTTAAATTTGATCTCTTTCACACCCAATGCTACATCAGCTTCCCAGTGTCATCGCTTTTGGATGCAAAGAGACCAGAGGCATGCCTATATATTTTTCAACCTTAGGCAAAGTGGTAAATGCACAGCTTTCTATACAATGTTAAGGTTATTTATTGGAGGGGAGATATATATAAAATGCATTCATTATTGTGTGTAATCATGTATATGTTATAAACATGCATTATTCCATGTAGCGAAGTAGTTGACGAAGCATAAAGTAAGTATGAGTGTATACGTTTATGTTCATTAAAAATAACTATTTCAAATCATAATATAGTAAAAGGCCAACTAACCGGAAAGCTCTAACCAAAATAATTAGAATTATATAGCAATTTTTCCTCTCCAAAAAATATAGTAAATGAGAGCTTTTTAATGCCATTATAAAACTCGTAGTGCTATTAACAGGTATAAATTGTCATTAAACAGTGTCATTTAGCATTAATAATGAATAAGCATGATGTCAGAACACAATGATAAAAAGTTTGTTTTGGTTTAATGCAAATTCGATTAATTCTCGATAGATTGGTTTATTTTTTTGTAAAGAAGGAAATTAGTTTTTTTTTTTTCGCCTCTTGAAAAAATGACTAGTATTTGGCATAGCATTGAAGTAATGTATTTTCAAAATTACCAAATTGGGGCATCAAAAAAAAAAAAAAAAAAAAAAAAACATGACACCTGACTTTGAAAGATGGATAAACAATGACCATGTAATGTGAAAAATTATGATAAATGATTTGAGTTTTTTATATGCTTCATCTGTAATTTATATATCATTATTATCTAGCTAATTAAAAAATGACAAGTTCATTTAAACTTCTATCGATATTGACTGGTGACATCTGCGTCAACTTTCACATTTGGTGGGCTTTCATGATTGTATTAGATGTTTAACTTTCATATTTAAGGACATATGTTGATTTGACATGACATACGCTGGCTTTTCTCAAACACTTTTTGTGTTTGAAATCTTCCATCATTTTAAATGTCGGCTTTTGATATTCAAACTGGTAATATAATGACTGTTTTTATAATTTTATAGCAGAAGTTTTCCCCATTCATTTGACTTTTTTAAATGTGAATTCCACTTTTTGTGAGCTTATATTCAGAATTTTCAAGTAGGCAGAATTCAGCATTTCCTGATCTTTTCGGATAGTCAAGCTTCTAAGGACCATTCAGACTGTAGTTTATCCGAGCTAACAGAGTCAGTTCCATGTATTGCCTAGCTCCACTATGTGTGCAGTTCAGATTTTTCAACTCCCTGCTCTATGGGGGAAAGCTAGTTTTGGAGGTGGGTCAGCTAAGCCAGTTGTTTTTGTTATCTCAGATAAACCCGTGTCTGAACGTTCACTTACTGTACCATAACTCTTATGCAATATTTAATCATAGCTTAATACATTTTGCAAATTTAAACATAATAACTTACAGTTTTGAATTTAAATGCATACAATTGAAGTAAATTATAATCATGAGTTATTTTTCAAAGATCTAAATTTGTAGGTGCTTTAGTTTCTGGAATTATTGAAATAGCATGGTTTTTAAAACTAGATATTACTGATTGGATTTCTTGAGCATTCATATCATTTCAATATTTAAATTTTAAGTTATAAGCTGCTTAAATTACTTAAATGATATAAATTAAAACTGAAGGTCAGAAAATATTTTATTTAATTTTTTTGTATTGCCATTTCAGTTGTGAGTTTAAAACATCTAACACACTTCTGTAATTTCTATTATAAAAGTATATTTTCTGGGAAACTATAGTTTATATCAATTGATTCACCCCAGTTTGATTTATTAACCTTTCATTTTCATTTCTGCCCAAATTCTCATGAGATAATTCATCTCTAAAGTTGAAGGTTTGCATTTTTGAATAATGTGCTCAGAAATATTTTTTCTCATTTCCTCTAGTGAAAGACATAGTACCCCTATTAAGTGTGCAGCTTCATAGAGAATTATAATTTTTGACAGCAAGGCTTTATTTATTTTTTCAATTTCTTGCAGTGTTAAATTCCATGCAGGTAACAAACATAACAATTTAAAATTGATTTGCTTCAAAATGTTATTTTCAGCTCACTACAGAGATTTGCCAATTAATAGCATATATTTTAAAGGTCAATGTACTTTAGTTATTTGTAGATCTAATTCTTTAACAGCATTTGTTCTTGAAGGCTATTATATATCGGTGTAATCTTTTAATATTGTTTTCAAAACGGGTGTAAATGCAAGTTTAAACTATGAGCTGAACAAGGGCTGTATGTCGCTTATGTCACTTATTCGACAGATAATGGCTTGGACAGCTTTGCACCATCTAGCCATATAGGCCCCATTATCATGACTTCAAACATTTGAATGTCAAGGCCATTCTTTTTTAACTTTTAAATAATTTCATTTTACTAAATCACTACCAGTTTTCTCTTTTGTTTCTATAAAATCTATAAAGCTTTCTTCAATAAATATAAATTCATGTTTTATGTGCACATATCTAATAATCTGTCACAGTTGTTCAGGATGCAAAACATTTGGTGCACAAGCGAACATCTAAGAAAAATATTTTCCTTTTCTTTGATCCTAGAATTAATATCAAATCAAACATGGTTACCAAAGAGCAAAATAAATTCATCATATACTTTATTAGACAGGTAAGAAATGGATCCATTTCTTTGATTAGCTGTATGACAGGCAATATATCTATCACAATGACTTATTAAGTCAGTTAAGTTTAGTAACATTTCTGCACTTGAACTGCCAATAGTTTCATGCATACCTCTAAGAGGTAAATTATGTTTCACACAAAACAAAATTACTATAGCACGTAAGATATTTTGTCTCTTTTCTTTTTCTAATTCTTCTGCTTTATGCAGGAAATCATCTATGAAACAACATCCTTTAATATTTTTTAGAGCATTTCCACTGAAGATAAGCATAGTATTGAAACATAGAATTCTCGTGATTGGAAATTCCGTTTAAGTTTGTTCCAGTCTTTGAAACCTTATTTCCGATTGGAAATAGAAGAATCTAGCTTATTAAAAAGAATACATGGAAAAAACAATAATCACAGAGGTCCTTTTGAATAAATAAGCCAGTTGCGATGTATTACTTCCCCATTAGATCACTTCTTAAAAAAAAAAAAAAAAAAAAAAAACTGTAAGAACACCAACAGAGGGTATGTGAAAAAGTGTGCCCGTTAGAGGATGCAAAATTGAGAAACACCAGACTAAAGGGAGCTAATGAATGTATTGAGGATGTAATTATTTCCCCCCCCCCAATTATACTGCTGGATTTAAGTAAGTAAATAATTACTTCAATTCCTTCGTATAACAGGCTTTTATCAGTAGCTTACGAGGAAATGGCAGTAACATGCTATATGGAAATAAAGAAAATACTAATAATTATTTTTAAAGTTTAGTGAAACACTAAGTGCCAGTAATACTAGTGCATATAATTTAACTAAATAAAGTGCAAGAAAAAGAATTAATATTATGTGAGTGATTATAGTACCTTTACAGAAAATTTCTTCTTCAGTTTAGAACAGTATTTTTTTCAAGAATTTTTGGTAGCATTTTAAATAGATATTTAGTTTTATATGTTTAGGAAATTCTTTTTTTTCCCCCTCAAGATGTGTGTTGAGATTTCTTTGTTCCCATTGTAATGTACTAATAGATAATCAGTTTTGCTTTTGCCATGATTATTATATATTTGACATCTTGCACATTACACTTGTATTTATGCATCGTAAAATATATTATTGAAGCTTGGTTTTATTCTCAGTGTTTTATATTTTTTTATATTTATGATTGTTTATTCTAATATATATTCGATTGAAACTGTAGTGGAAAATTAACAGATAACTATTCTTAAATGTTACTGAAACTGTAGTGGAAAATTAACAGATTACTTATTGCTAAAAGTTAATTAAACTTTTTATGTATAGGTTTCATTCTGAAGAAGAAGCAATAGGGATTGCAAATGATACGAAGGCAGGATTAGCTAGTAAGTAAATTATGAATTAACATCTGTGCCATTTAGTTCAATAGTATTTTAAAATTCCTTGTGCAATACAATAAGCAGTGAATTCTTTTACATAGGGTGATTCATAATCCCTTTAAGGTTTCAGAAATATATATAACAGTTACCATAACAAATGCATCAAAGAGTATCAGTGTGTAAGCTGTACAGGTTTTATTTTTATCATACAGGTGCTTGATACATGCACCTTTGGTGATGCGGCAAACTTTAGTCTCTACTGATAATCCTGGCCAGCCTGTTTGTTTTATATCATTCAGATAGCCAACCTCCTCTAACTTGTATCATGCATGAATTGTCTTGTCTGTAAATACTTCTACTTGATAAGTCATATGATAAACTCAAGAAGGGTTATTTACTCTTTATTATTCAAAATAAGAATTAAACACTCGGCTCCTTTCTCAGAGCATACAGCAAAGCCTCCACTTGGGCTTGAACTCAAAGTAATCAGAAATAAAACTTAACTAATGCTTAACTGAAAAGATATAGCCAAAGCTATCAAAATTATAAGTAGTTGGCCCCAAAATATCGAATAAGTTAGTGAAGCTATCAAGGGCCGAGCGTAGTAATAGCTTGGGGAGAGATGTAGCCAAAAGCGCTTGTCAGAAACTCTGAGGCTCTTGAAGTCAGTGGAACTTCGACTTAAATACCACTCTTACTCATTTGCATTAAATGCGATTCTGCAAACACATTTTGGTAGGAAATTGTAAGCTGAAATTAGGAAGGACAAGAAAGTAGCTTTAAGTAAAATTAACTGTTAGAAACGTAGGATAAACCTTACACAATTAGTAATATGCATTATTACCTTAAGATTGCTTATGGTAATTGAAAGTGTGATTTTAGGACCAACAGTGCTGGGCAACAGAAGACTTCTGTGTTTCCTTTTTTCTAACATATGTCTCATGTTCCTTAACTTGCAGTTTTAAGGCTTTCTTAGTTTGACCAATATAAATTAAACCACACTGGCAATGAATTCTGTAAATCCCCCAGGAATTCATATCCGGAATGGGGTCCTTGAGTATAGAACTCGGAATTTTATTGATAGGAGAATAAACGAAAGTTAAATTTCTGTAAAATATGTGCATTTATAGCTAATTGATGGAAATGACAACAGAAGTGTTATAATTTTCTAAAACCAGAGTGTGCTTTTGGTGTGTTGAGATAGTAGTTTAACTCCTGTCCAGGAGCTTGTATGCCAGCAGCTTAACTCCTGTCCAGTCTTTCTTAACTTATCTTATTTAATCACTATATCTTATCACATTCATTTGTGTTTGCAGAGCTGAGGATAATGGTTCAGTAAAACCATCGAAACTAGTCCTGTGAAAATTTGAAAATATAACGCTGATTATTGTTGTTTGACTTCTAAATTAATATCTGTTCAGCGTGTTATTCTATCTGAATCAATGAAATGGGGTTTAAAAAGCATTATACGCATGAAAGCTTCATACATTTGAATTTTTGTGTGTATTTAAAAAATATTTTTCTATTCAAGTTTTTTTTTTTTTTTTTTGCTTGATAAAAACATATTAATATGTAGCAGTTTGGGAAAATCACAACTTCTTTACCTATAAATTGTATAAAATCAGAGTGCCTTACTTTTTACCCCAGTGCTTTTGTTGAGAATCTAATTTTGTGCCATTATTGAAAACATCTTGCTGTTTCTGACTTTTCATAATTAATCACCCTTTTACCCTTCAGTGAGTGTTTAATTTCATGTAATATTTAAATATTATCAAAAGAGATATAGTATTCATAATATTTCTTTTTGTTAGAGAATGTTTATATATATCTAGAGAGAGGGAGAGATAAACTTCTTTTATAGAACTACGTATTAATGAAAAATGCTAATACTTATATAGCTGCTAATATTATATAGGCTTGACAACTTTCCGATTTTAGATAAATACTGTTTTGAAAACTTGAAAAACCATCAAGATGATTAATATATTGCATCAAAAACATTAAGTAATAAATAAAGTTAGAAAATTCGATAGATACATATTTTGGCTCTCAATACATAGTAACAGAAATGAAAAATTAAACTGGAGTGATTGAAGTTCAGTTGAAAAACTAAGTTAGAATAAAAATCTTTGTATGTCATGCTATTATACAAAACTGTCTCATTCTAGGTATTCTAACATGATAGAAATAATACGCATTTTACATGATAATAAATATTCTGACTATGGTTTGAATGTATGGTATAGATAAGTGTAGAGGGAAAAAGGTCAAAGAACTGTTATGTTGTACAAATCCAGCTGCATTTATTGAATTGAATCAAATTACAAGTTTCACAACTGCAAAATAATTTCAGTTTGTTTACAAAGCATAAATTTACCAGAATTTTCTTACTTTCTATACAAAATATGATTACCAGAAGCACTTTTTTATGTTTATGTAGCAAGGCGATGATAACTGATTGTAATTATAATAACTGATTTGTAACGATAGCTGATTTTTAATTTGAAGATATTATTCTATTCAAATAAATCACTTCAAACTTGCACAGTTATTGCAATATCAGAAAATTTCCAATGTTTTCCTAAATTCGAAATTGATACCTATCAAGAGGTTGAATTAAAGGTATAGTTTTATGAGGGAACACTTGAGGAGTTTGAAAATTTTTCTGACAGATTTCTTAGTCAAATCCTGATTTTTGTAAGAAGACCAGGCATCTACAAAAAGCAGAGAGCTCTGTCTAGCAATTGGCAATTGGCATGAAAATAACTATTTAATGAATATCTCGCCGACTAATGATTTTATATCCAAGATAAGTATGTCCTTTGAAAGGTTCTCTTGCAGGTGATTCTTGTGATATGAAACTAAAAGAAAACTTCCACGATTAGTTAATGCAAATGCAAGAGCTCAGCAAATTGTATTCTTTACCAGGTGACCTTGTTTTCTTGTTTCTTTTTCTAGCATTTTAGCAGCTAATTTTTTATCAGTATGTACTTTTAGATGAAATGATTCGTATATGTATATATTTTAAATATTGAGAGTTCAAGGTTGGCAAAGCCTTCCTTCTACGATGTGTCGGACGAGCTGACGGTAAGTGGCAAAAGTAGTGGTAAGAGTATTGTAGAATGAAAGGGCAGTTTGGATGCCAGTACTTTTTGTTTATTAGTTTTCCGAATTTTTGCACATGTGCATCATATGGCGCTTTGGGAATAGGGTGGTGAATTTAATTCTGGTTCTTAATTGAGTTAAATATTCTCAAGTAATCATAAGAAGTTGCTTTGTTACTTGAATATAGCAAAGTACACCATGGCTCTCTGCCTAAGGAGAGCGATGCCTTTGTGCAAGACTTTCTAAGGAAACTGGCTTGTGTATAAGTTGCACATGGAGAAAACCATGAAAGTGGACATGCAGTGAGCTGGAATTCGAACATAGATCAGACAGCCAGTGTTAACTGAACACCCAGCAACTAGTAGGTAGGAATCACTAGAGATTTATCTCCTCAATTTCATTCTCGCTTTTACTATTACAGTGCAGTCCTTAATTTTTGCTGCACAGTAAATGATGCATGAACAAAAAAGAACTCCTTATTCTGCTAGTTTTAAGTTATCAGTTCTGTTGAACATTCTAGCAATCGATTGTCACTCTTCAGTTTCATAAAAGTGAGGCTTATCAGCACACCAAATTTGCCAAGTGATCGTTGAATCAGTACATAGTTTGAGTCATGTGGATATTTTCTCGCGCTTGAATAACTTGATATGAAAAGCTGTTGACAGATGGCCGAAATTGGAACGGATGAAATGGATTTTAATTGTTCATCATCTTTATGTCAAATTGCAGTATACTGCAATTTCAACAAAGATCCTGGCCTTCAAGCTGATTGTGAACATTAAGTTGGTATTTATTAAGAAAATCAAATTATTTATTTTTATAAAGGTTGCTATTTTAGTAGCATTTGCTGACAGGTGGAAAGAATTCATAGGTATAAAGTGTCATGCAACACTGAAGTAGGTGGAATGTTCCTTATATTCAGAATCATTTTGGAAGACATATAATGAATGAGAGTTCAGCCAAAGTGTATCATGAAGAACAAGCTCTTCACATAAAAATTTTGCCACCAACTAGAAGAAGCTTGCATTTGGAAAACCCGTGAAAAAGTATGCTGTTAAAAGGCTAAATGACAGATAGGGAAGACTTCAGATACATTGAATGTCAATGGCTCAATGTTTCTGATTAAAGGAAAGGAATATAGATGGAAGATAACCACTGAAGCTTTAAATTATTTGAAATTCAATCTCAGCTTGGTGTTAATGGTAATAAATGCTGTTGTGCTTTTTGAGAGCATTACAGGCCTTTTCTTAAAACAGCTAAAATATTTTTATTGTAAAAAGAAAGATTTCTGTCAGATATTCTTGAAAGTTATTGACCATTTCTTTTCATATTATTACCAATTTGAAGTTAAACTTTGATTAATTTAAAATTCCAAATTGAATTGCTTCTCTTATATTTACATTGCTTTCCTTCGCCTTCCTAATTTTCAAATGCCCTTTAAAAGAGCTTCTGAAAGTTAGATCCCTCATAATATATCTGAAAACAATCTGTATATAATAATTTTTTTATTAGCAATAAATTCAGGAATGTTCTATATTTTTTTTTCCCTGTTTAAGTATTTTAAATTGATGAATAGACAGGGTTTACCCAAGTACACTAAACACTAAATGCTTCAGCTGTGGCCAATGGGGCACATCTCTAAAAATTGTGAAGAAGCCAAATATTAGAACCAAAACTGTGCCAAAACTGCAGTTGACCTCAAGACAAGCATTGCACTTCTGGCAAATGAAGAAAAATCAAGGAAAAGTAATCTGTGGATTTTAGACAGTGGAGCTACAGAACACATGACCTCTGATAAAAGAAAATTCTCAGACCTTAAGAAGTACACATCTGAAGTTGAAGTTGCTAATTCAGAAAGAATAAAGGTCACTGGAATTGGAAATATTTCATTTTCTGTTGGA